GTTGTAGTTCACCTCCATCCAGAGAGCACTTTGGACTCAAACAATGATGGATCTGGACCAAACTTGGCACAAATATTCCATATGCCCAAATATGAACACAGATGGAGTTTGGGGGAAACAGACCTTGACATTTGGGAGTTGTAGTTACTGGGATTTACAGTTCACCTACAATCAAAGAGCATTCTGAACCCCACCAATGACAGAATTGGGGCAAACTTCCCACACAGAACCCCCATTACCAACAGAAAATACTTAAGGCCATTGAGTTCAACTCTCTTCACCAGGGCAAGAAAACATAATCAAAGAGCCATCCAGCCATAGATATAAATATATATGGCTCTCACACATAGATTTGAAAGGGACCCTAAAGAAGGACAATGATATGTTGCATGTTCCAGAGTAGGCAAACCAGACACTCTCCACATCAACACTGACAAAGAAACAGCAAGAAATACTGTTTATCCACAAGCATAAAGAAATTACATATATTAGAAACTTTCTCATTACTTTATTTTGCAGTTCAGCAGACTGGGCCATAGCAACGCCTGGCAGGGGACGGCTAGTTAGAAAATAAAAACATTCTAATACATTTGCGGAGATGCCAATTTGCAAGATTTGCCTTCGGTTACAAACATTTGTTCTCTCCAAGGACTGAAGCTTGGGACACAAGCAATCCAAACTGGAGCCATTTGCAAGAAAACATATTCCATGGAGTGCCCTCCTCCCATATTATAAAACGCTCCCTATACTCATCCCTGATCCAAACTAAAGGACATCACAATAAACCATAGCTTATCCTGACATGAAGAATCATAGAATCAAAGAGTTGGAAGAGACCTCATGGGCCATCCAGTCCAACCCCATTCTGCCAAGAAGCAGGAATATTGCATTCAAATCACCCCTGACAGATGGCCATCCAGCCTCTGTTTAAAAGCTTCCAAAGAAGGAGCCTCCACCACACTCCGGGGCAGAGAGTTCCACTGCTGAATGGCTCTCACAGTCAGGAAGTTCTTCCTCATGTTCAGGTGGAATCTCCTCTCTTGTAGTTTGAAGCCATTGTTTTGCGTCCTAGTCTCCAGGGAAGCAGAAAACAAGCTTGCTCCCTCCTCTTCCCTGTGGCTTCCTCTCACATATTTATACATGGCTATCATATCTCCTCTCAGCCTTCTCTTCTTCAGGCTAAACATGCCCAGCTCCTTAAGCCGCTCCTCATAGGGCTTGTTCTCCAGACCCTTGATCATTTTAGTCCCTCCTCTGGACACATTCCAGCTTGTCAATATCTCTCTTGAATTGTGGTGCCCAGAATTGGACACAATATTCCAGGTGTGGTCTAACCAAGGAGAAATAGAGGGGTAGCATTACTTCCCTAGATCTAGACACTAGATCCCATTGGCTTTTTTGCCGCCACATCACATCGTTGGCTCATGTTTAACTTGTTGTCTACAAGTTAAATCAAGGTTCCCACACATTCACCGTTCCATTCACCATGACAAGGACTTTAGAATGGAACACTTTCACTTTTGATTAATCCTCTCTACTTCTGCCGGATAATGCAAAAAGGCATGATTAATCTTAAGTACAATTCGAACAAAGGAAGTCAATTTCAAACCTTGCGTCAACAAACCATACTTACAGAACTGAGACAGAAAAACCAAATAGAGAAGTCAACACTTCAAAGCCAGTGTACGCCGCAACAGAAATAGGAAAGGAAATATAATTTCACTTCCACAACAATAAATAGAGTGGACACTCCATTTTGACAATGATTAAGAATACACAAACATTTCAAGTCACACTCTCTCAGCCTCAGAAGGAGGCAATGGCAAACCTACTCTCAATTCTTGCCCAGAGTTGACTCACAATCTTATTTTATGCATGTTGACTACTCACTAGTTCCATTATCTCCAATGGAATGTATGATTCTGGATATGTTTAGCAATGCAACAGTGATCTTTCTGGCAGGATGACCACCCTCCTTGCACAAAACAATTAAGCCAATTAGCGACCAGTTGATACACATCCTCCTTTGCAAAAAGTGATACTGCAAATGGAGGTTTGGTCTAAATCTGCGAGACAAAGGGGCTTAACAGTGAAAGCACTGTGATTCAAATCCCCGTCATTATAATTCAGCCCAGTTCTACCACCCTTTGAAAGAAGTTGGTTGGAGGAGCAGAGAAAAGAAAATACAAATAACATCAAGACATACAGATAAAAGAAAAGAAAATAAACTCTTAATATCTGCTGAAGTTTGGTCCAAATATTTACATATGCAAAGTCAGCCTTCCAATATTCTCTCCTTCATTCTATGTTTTTTTTATTTCCTTTCTTTCTTGTTTCTCTCCTTCCTTCCTCTCACTTTTCCTTCTAACTTTCTCTTTTCTTTCTTTCTAGTTTCTCTTCCAGGTTTTTCTCCTTTCCTTCTTTAGTTTCCTTCCCTCCCTCCCTCCTTCCTTTCCCTCCTGTTTCCTTTCTTTCAACATTCTCTCCTTCCTTCTTTCTTGACAGTTTCTCTCCTTCCTAACTTTTCTTTTTCCTTCCTCTTTCCAACTTTCTCTCCTTCCTTCTAAGTTTCCTCTCCTTCTTTCCTTCCATCTCTCTCCTTACTTTCTTTCTAGTTTCTCTTCCTTCCAGGTGTTTCTCATTTCCTTCTTTAGTTTCTTTCCCTCCCTCCCTCCTTCCCCTCCTGTTTCATTTCCTTTCTCTCCTTCCTTCCTTCTTTCTCTCCTTCCTTCTTTCTTGACAGTTTCTCTCCTTCTCTTCCTAGTTTTTCTTTTTCCTTCCTTTTTCCAACTTTCTCTTCTTCCCTCTAAGTTTCCTCTCCTTCTTTCCTTTCTAGTTTCCTTTCTTTCCTTCCAATGTTGTCTTTCCAAGTTTCCCTCCTTTCCTTCCTAGTTTATCTCCTTCTTTTCTTACTTCTCCTTTCTTCTAACCTTCCTTCTTTCAAGTTTCCTCCCTCCCTCCATCTCTTTCCTTACTTTCTTAGTTCTCCCCCTCATTCTTGCCAGTTTATCTCCTTCTTTCCTTCTTGGTTTTTCTCTTCTTCCTTCCTCTTCTTTTTCCTTCCTTACAGCTTTCTGTCTTTCTAAGTTTCCTTCTTTCTTTCTTGTCTAGTTTCTCTCCTTCCTTCTTTCCTAGTTTCTCTCCTTCCTTTCTCATGTTTCTTCCTAGTTTGTCTTCCTTTATAACTACTTTCCTTATTTCTCTCCTTCAGTCTCTTTCCTTTGTAGTTTCTCTTCCTTCCTCCCTTTCCCTCCTTTGTTTCTTCTTCCTATTTTGTCTCCTTCCTCCCAAGTTTCCTCCCTCCCTCCTCCCTTTCTTTCCTCCCTCCCTTGTTTCTCCCTTCCTTCTCCTTTCTCGTGTTGTTCCTAGTTCGTTTCCTTTCTTCTTTATTTCTCTCCTTTTCTAGTTTCTCTCCTTCCTTCCTTGTTTCTCCTTCCTACTTTCCCCCCTTTGTTTTTTCTTTCTTCCCTTCCTGGTTTGTGTCCTTCCTTCCAAGTTTCCTTCCTTCCTACTTTCCCTCCTCCCTTTTCCCTCTTTCCCTCCTTGTTTCTCTCTCCCTTCCTTTCTTCTCTTTCCTTCCTTCCTCATGTTTTTTCCTAGTTTATCTCCTCCCTTGTTCCTTCCTACCTACCTTCCTTATTTCTCTCCTCCCTTTTCAGTTTCTCTCCTTCCTTCCTCCCCTTTTCTCCTTTGTTTCTTCTTCCCTCTTTCCTTCCTAGTTTGTCTCCTTACTTCCAAGTTTCCTTCCTTCTTTCTTTCCTTCTCATATTTCTTCCTAGTTTGTCTCCTTCCTCCCTTCCTAGGTTGTCTCTTTCCTTCCTCCCTCCCTTTCCTGTTTCCCCTTCCGTTCCTTCCTTTTTCCTTCCTTCCTCTCCCTCTTTCCTTCCTCCCTTCCTAGGTTGTCTCTTTCTCCCTCCCTTTTCCTTTCCCTCCTTTCCTTCCTTGTTTTCTCCCTTCCTTCCTCCTCCTCTTTCCTTCCTCCCTCCTAGATTGTCTCTTTCCTTCCTCTTTTTCCCTCCTTCCTTTCTTTCCTCCCTTCCTTTCCTTTTCCCCTTCTTTCCTTCCTCCTCTTTCCTTCCTAGGTTGTCTCTTTCCTTCCTCCCTTTCCTGTTCCTTCCTTTCCTTCCTTGTTTCTCCCTTCTTTCCTTCCTTCCTTCCTTCCTCTCCCACTTTCCTTCCTCCCTTCCTAGGTTGTCTCTTTCCTTCCTCTTTTCCCCTCCTTCCTTTCTTTCCTCCCTTCCTTTCCTTTTTCTCTCTTTCTTCCTTCCTTCCTCTTTCTTCCTTTTCTCTTCCTTCCCTTTCCTTTTCCCTTCTTTCCTTCCTTTTCTCCCTTCTTCCTTCCTTCCTTCCTCTCCTTCCTTCCTTCCTAGGTTGTCTCTTTCCTTCCTCCCTCCTTCCTTCCTTTCCTCCCTTCCTTGTTTCTCCCTTCTTTCCTTCCTTCCTTCCTCCCCTCTTCCTTCCTCCCTTCCTGTCCTTGTCACATCCTCTCCCTTTCCCTTCTTTTCCTTCCTTGTTTCCCTCCTTTCTTCCTCCTTACTTTCTTTTTCCTTCTTTCCCTCTCCCTCCTTTCCTTTTTTCTCCCTTCTTTCCTTCCTTCCTTCCTTTCTAGTTTGTCTCCAAGCTTCCTCCCTCCCTTTGCGCTCTTTACTTCCTTCCTTCCCTCCCTCCCTCATCCTGCTTCCTTTTCCCCTTCCCTTCCTCCTTGAGCCTGACTTCCGAGGAGACCCAGGCGGGGCCTGGCGAGGGAAACCAGAGACCGAAACCAAACCCACTCGGCCCTGGAGCCCAGCCTGACCCAGAGAGAAGAAGGGGGAAAAAGAACCGAAACTGGGCTGGAGCCAAGCCACTCGGGTGGCATCCTGTGCCCACTGGGACCTTGCAGAACTACAACTCCCACCGCACTGAGCCATGACACTCCCAAGTGGGATCAGTGTAAATGCACCCAGGAGTCCACCCGACCTCCCTGACACGTGTCCTCCCGTCCACACGTTCCCACTCACCATCAACACGTGTCCAGGTCCTCAAGCCTTGGAGCCTTCCCATGGCCCAGGGGGGAAAAAACTGGGTCTCCCTTTGGATCCAATTAGGGAACCCGATTCTTGCTAGTGAGTGATTCACTTCGCTTTGGGTTCACACGAGACGGATCCGGTGGAAATTCTGTCTCAGTTATTGACAGATAGATAGATAGACCCGAGTTTTGCTTTTAAAAAATGCACCCAGTTGCAAAAAAAAAAAGAGGAAATTGCAAAGGATGCAAAAAAGGGGAGCAGGAGATATATAAATATATGGAATTCCTAAAAAATCCTAGTCATAAAACACAGATTCAAACCAAAATCGGGGTCTTACCCAAGTCTCTCCATATCTTTCAATGTTGCAAAGGGAAGACAAGCAAAAAACCCACCAAAAATTGCAAATAATTCTTTGCAAAAATCTCTCTCTTGCAAGGAATGCAACTTAACCGGGGATCCAACCTAGGACCCTTGAGAAATGCGCCAAGGCCAGCCTAGGAAACATGTCTGCTGCTCCAGTCTTCTTTGCAAAGGGGGGGAAGGGAAGGGAGGGGAGAGGAGCCTCTTTTGCCCTGGAAGTGAAAACAAAGCGAAGGCAAGAGAGGCAGAGAGAAAGTGAAAACTGACCCGGAAGGAGTCCCCGCCTTGGCTGGGCCAGGCGTTTGGCATTTCCTGCAGAAAGGGAACTGATGCAATGCACATTTGGGTGCACTCTTAGGAAGGGAGGGAGGGAGGAAAAGGAAAAAGGAAGGAAGGAAGGACTTTGCAAGGAAGGAAGGAAAAGAGGGAGGGGGGGCTGAAAGAAAAGGAAAAAGGGAAGGAAGGACTTGCAAGGAAGGAAGGAAGAAAGAGGGAGGGAGGGACTAAACTGGCTTTGCAAAAAAAGAAAGGAAGAGGGAGGGATTAAACTGCATTTGCAAAAATGATAGATAAATGGAGGGAGGGAGGGATAGGGACACTAAACTAGCTTTGCAAAGAAAGAAAGAGGGAAGGACTAAACTGGCTAAAGAAGGAAGACAGACTAAACTGATGATGGAAGGAGGGAGGGAGACACTAAACTGCTTTTGCAAAGAAAGAAGGAAAGAAAGAAGACATGAAACTGCCTTTGCAAAGGAAGGAAGAAAAGAGGGATGGGGACATGGAACTGCCTTTGCAGAGAAAGAAAGTAAAGAAGGAAGGAAGGAAGGAAGAGGGAGGGACTAAACTGGCTTTGCAAAAAAGAAAGGAAGAGGGAGGGACTAAACTGCATTTGCAAAAATGATAGATAAATGGATGGAAAGAGGGAGGGAGGGAGGGATAGGGACTAGCTTTGCAAAGACAGGAAAGGAAAGAAAGAGGGAAGGACTAAACTGGCTAAGGAAGGAAGACAGACTAAACTGATGATGGAAGGAGGGTGGGAGACACTAAACTGCTTTTGCAAAGAAAGAAAGAAGGGATGGAGACATGAGACTGCCTTTGCGAAGGAAGGAAGGAAGGGCTTTGCAAGGAAGGAAGGAAGAGGGAGGGACTAAACTGCATTTGCAAAAGAGATAGATAAAGGGAGGGAGGGATAGGGACTAGCTTTGCAAGGAAAGGAAAGAGGAAAGGACTAAACTGGCTAAGGGAGGAAGACAGACTAAACTGATGGTGGAAGGAGGGATGGAGACACTAAACTGCTTTTGCAAAGGAAGGATGGGGACATGAAACTGCCTTTGCAGAGAAAGGAAGGGATGGAGACATGAAACTGCCTTTGCAAAGGAAGGAAGGAAGGAAGAATAGAGAGGTGGAGACATGAAACTGCCTTTGTAAAGGAAGGAAGGAAGAAAGAAAAGAGGGATGGGGACAAGAAACTGCCTTTGCGAAGGAAGGAAGGAAGAGGGAGGGATTTAACTGGCTTTGCAAAAAAGAAGAGGGAAGGACTAAACTGCATTTGCAAAAATGATAGATAAATGGATGGAGGGAGGGATAGGGATTGGTTTGAAAAGACAGGAAAGGAAAGAAAGAGGGAAGGACTGAACTGGCTAAGGGAAGGAAGACAGACAGACAAAACTGATGGTGGAAGGAGGGATGGAGACACTAAACTGCTTTTGCAAAGGAAGGTTGGGGGCATGAAACTGTCTTTTGCAGAGAAAGAAAGGGATGGAGACATGAAACTGCCTTTGCGAAGGAAGGAAGGAAGAATAGAGGGATAGGGACATGAAACTGCCTCTGCAAAGGAAGGAAGGAAGAGGGGTGGAGACATTAAACTGCCTTTGTAATTCATCCATCCAACTGCCATAGGATGGATGGATAGATAGATAGAGAAAGAGAGAGAGAAAGAGGGTTGGAGACACTAAGCTGCCTTTGGAAAGGAAGGAAAGAGGGATGGAGACACTAAACTGCCTTTGGAAAGAAAGAAAGACACTAAACTACCTTTGGAAAGAAAGAAAGAGACACTAAACTGCCTTTGGAAAGGAAGGAAGGAAGAGGGATGGAGACACTAAACTGCCTTTGGAAGGAAGGAAGGAAAGAAAAAGGGATGGAGACACTAAACTGCCTTTGGAAAGGAAGGAAGGAAGAGGGATGGTGACACTAAACTGCCTTTGGAAAGAAAGAAAGACACTAAACTGCCTTTGGAAAGAAAGAGAGAGAAAGAGACACTAAACTGCCTTTGGAAGGAAGGAAGGAAAGAAAAAGGGATGGAGACACTAAACTGCCTTTGGAAAGGAAGGAAGGAAGAGGGATGGTGACACAAACTGCCTTTGGAAAGAGAGAGAGAGAAAGAGACACTAAACTGCCTTTGGAAGGAAGGAAGGAAGGAAGGAAGGAAGGAAGGAAGGAAGGAAGGAAGGAAGGAAGGAGGAAGGAAGGAAGAGGGATGGAGACACTAAACTGCCTTTGAAAAGAAAGAAAGACACTAAACTG